ATCCTCTGTGGGTGCGCCCTCCCCCGGGAGTCAAGGGCTTTACTGCCACTCCATTGAAAGGCAGAGACAGAAAGCAGTTTTCTTGTGCACACATGCCACGTGTGCCACACCACACACTGTACACCCACACTCACACATACTACACACACCCCAGCAAGGCCCTGCCCAGGCCCTTCAGCTCCAAGGAAGAGTCAGACACACAGGGTTCCGCAAGGTCTTTATTGTCACCAGGAACGTGGCCTGCAGGTGGCCTGGGCCTCGGGGAGTCCTCCCTGAGCTTGGTGCAGCTCCATGGGGCCTGCTGTTCACCAGCTCAGGACGCCAGGGCAGTACTTGTCGATGAGTCCCTGGTAGTAGGAGCGCAGCTGCTCCACATCTGGCAGGTCGGGGCTCTTGGTGTACAGGTCAAACTTGCTGCAGATGGAGGCACTGTGAGGCCATGCAGCCACAGCCCCCACGCCCAAAGGCCCCATGCAGCCACAAGCCCCCATGCCCAAAGGCCCCATGCCCATAGCAGCCCCACGCCCAAAGGCCCCATGCCCATAGCAGCCCCCATGCCCACAGCGGCCCCCATGCCCACAGCGGCCCCCATGCCCACAGCAGCCCACATACCCACAGCGGCCCCCATGTCCACAGTGGCCCCATGCCCACGGTGTCCCCCATGCCCACAGCAGCCCCCATGCCCACGGTGGCCCCCATGCCCACAGCGGCCCCCATGCCCACAGCGGCCCCCATGCCCACAGTGGCCCACATGTCCACAGCGGCCCCATGCCCACGGTGGCCCCCATGCCCACAGCGGCCCACATACCCACAGCAGCCCCCATGCCCACAGCAGCTCACATACCCACAGCGGCCCCCCATGCCCACAGAGGCCCCCATGCCCACAGCGGCCCCCATGCCCACAGCGGCCCCATGCCCACAGCGGCCCCCATGCCCACGGTAGCCCACATACCCACAGCATCCCCCATGCTCACACAGCCCCCAACCCACACCATACTTGAACTCCTGCACCCAGGGCAGCATGTCCAGGTCCCGCTGGCTGCACAGCTGCCGGTAGTCACCTCCCGTGTGCCACGGGTAGAAGGAGTGAAACCGGATCATGTAGAAGGCCTGTGGGGGAGGGGAGGCCATCCTTGGCTCAGCCTGGTCAGGCGGGTCCCCTGCTTCCCTAGGCACACCCAGGCCCCTGCCTACCTCCTCGGGCAGGGAGAACTTGTTGAATCGCATCATCTGGTACAAGTATTCTGCGGGAGGGTGGGAGGGTAGGTGGGGGTGGCACCTTCAGCAGGTCCTCCCCTCCCTGCTCTCACAGGGCAGGCTCTTCCACCAGCCTCACCGTCATGGCCCCAGGACATCAGGACGTTGTCCAGCCCACAGTGTGGTGCGTACATGCCCAGCTCCGTGCTGTGGAGAGAGTTGGGATGAGGGGCTGCCACGGGCAGGACAAGGGCTGGGGAGGCTGTGGTGGGCCACTGGGCCGGAGCCACACCTGTACTGGGGGTGCTGAAGGTCAGGGTTGTCCTGGAAGGTAGACTCTCGGAAGACCACGGAGGCCTGGGGCCGGCAGCCCACAGGGAAGGTGTCTCCCACAACGGCCCACTGCAGAGGGACACAGGTCCATGGACAGGGTGCCTGCTGAGCCCCAGAAGGGCATTTGCCTCCCGCCTGCACCCCTGCTTCCCCTGCCTCACCTGGGGCTCCCCCCACAAGGCCAGCACCTTCCCCAGATCATGCAGGAGCCCGACAAGGTGGAACCAGTCTAGAGGGAGGAGGACAGGACGGGATGGTGGGTATGGGCAGCCAGGGCCAGCCAGGGCACACCCCCGCCCTGCCCGGCTGGCCTAGTGTACCCTTGTCTGGGTGCACCCTGCGGATGCCCTCAGCCGTCTGGAAGGCGTGGAACGAGTTGGGGAAGTCCACGTCCGGGTCAGACTCGTCCACCAGTGCGTCCAGTGCCTCCACAGCCTCCAGGACAGTCATCTTCTTGCAGGAGAAACTGCCAAACTGGGCGTGCTGGGTGAGTGCCAGGGCAAGTCAGTCAGGTCACACTGGGGGCCCATCCTGGGGGCTGCCGAGGAGGGCGACACCCACCTTTCTCCTGACAAAGTCCACTGTCTGGTGGGAGTGCATGAGCTTGTAGGTGTTGAAGACTCGGTCCAACAGGGGGCCCGACTGCAAGCCACACAGACTAGTCAGCAGAGGCCGCATCCCTATAGGCCCCTGCCAGGCCATGACCCTCCACCCCACCCACCATGGTCCTTACCGTGTAGTTCCGGAAGCTGCCCTTGTCTTTGGCCATCTCTGGATCCATGTCGGGACGGTAAATCAGGGAAGGGTCTGGGCCCTGGTGGCAGGTTGAGGGGGGCCCAGGTCATCGTTACACTAGCTCCAGGAGGATGCTGGCAGGCTCAAGGTTGCCAGCTGTGGCCTGAGGACACAGCCTCTCCCATGCCATCAGTAGGACCTGCAGGAGCCGCAGCCTCCAGAGCAAGGAGCTCGGTTCCTCCATGCCAGAGCCTCTCTGGGGAGCTGGGGGTTCTGCACCCACAGGAGGGAGGCCAGGACGGACAGAGTCAGCAGGAAGTGGGTAGGTGATGCAGGCTTTCCCCTAAGGGGCCCAGCCAGGACACCAACAGTCACTGGGTACTTACCACAGCCACCTTCATCTTGGTGGAATGGTAGCAGGTGCGAGAGCTCAGTTAGGCTAGACTCCCCCAGGCCTGGGTGCCCCTTTATATGTCCACTGGTTACATAAGTGACCGGACATCACCTGGCCCCTGGCCTTGGTGCTTGGTAATGAGTGACCATCCATGCTTCGCGTGGCCACAGAAAGTTAATGTGTCATCTCAGCCCAGCCATGCCCTGTCCTCAGCCTCCTGGGTCCCCCAGGACCCCACCTGCTTGGCAGTCCCTGTACCTGTCCCCTGCCTTCACTCGCCTCTGATGCCGCCTCAGGGGCCCCTCCTTAGCACCCCCAGCTTCTTTTGGGGAGCTTGTGCCTGGCACTGTGGTTCTGGGTGGGGCAGGGTCTTGCTAAGAAAAAGTTGTGCATTTGCCATTGTGTGGACAGCATGGAGTTACTGTTGCAGACCTGCAGAGGGCACAGGGATGGGGCTCCAGTCCTGGAACCCCAAGACTGGGAGCACCACAGCTGGTGAGCAGGTAGGGGGGATGAGGACAAGGAATTCCACCCAATACTATAGACATGGCAGGGAGGCCATGTGGGGATGGTACGTGGGGAACTGGGGGAGCTGGTGGGTGAGAGTCAAAGACATGGGTGCAGTGGACGGGAAGCTGCCGAAGTTGGGGCTCAGTGGGGGCATGGAGTGTCACGTGACTTCATGCCAGGCAATGGTTGTGGATCAGGATATCTCCTGACATTGCCCAGCTGCCGTGATACGAGGCCACAGGGAGAAACCAGGGGGTAGAGTCTGTGCTGCCCCCCAGGGCCCAGTGTAGGAGAGCAGCAAATGCCCCTGGCAGAGGGCACAGAACTCCCAGGTGGGAGTCTGGCGGGCGCCAGCCTGAACCTTGTCCCTGGGCCCAGGCTGAGCTGAGCTGAGCTGTGAGAACTGCTCTCCCCAGCCTGCCCCTGGACTACTGCCCCACCCACAGTCCCATGCTCTGTCCTGCCACGTGGACTTCTCGCCTTCTCAGATGTCTCCCACACCTCCTCTAGGCAGCCTCCCCTGACTGCCTAGCCATGCCGCTGCTCCTGGTCTGTATCCCTGTGCCCTGAGGTATGGTCGCTCCCATGCCGGGACTAAGAGGCCCCAGGCTGCAGGAGCAGGGCTACACCTGAGGCCCCTCTCTCCCACCTCGGGGTTATGTGGCAGACACAGCCCTGTCCTCTTATTCCCCGAATGTTAGGGTCTCAGAGTTGTTTTTTTTTTTTTTTAAAGATTTATCCATTTTTATTTGAAAGGCAGAGGCACAGAGAGAGAATCTATGTGCTTGTCCACTCTCCAAATGGCTGCAACCGCTAGGGATGGACCAAAGCCAGGAGTGTTTTCCGGGTTTCCCAGCAGGTGCAGCGGCCCAAGGACTCTGTCATCCTCTGCCACATCCCAGCAGGGAGCTGGATCAGAAATGCAGTGGCTGGATCGGAAGCAGTGTCCATGTGGGACACAGAGAGGCACGCCACAGTGCTGCCCCGCCCTCGTGGTCTCCTCAGAGGTGGGAGTGGTTGGCAGCAGACGCTGGCAGGTGGGTGGCTGAGTGTTCTGACTGACAGAAGCCGTTTTTGCTGCTCTGGGGCTGTGCTAGCCAGTACTGCAGCCTGGAACTGAACTCGCTGGCCTAGCTTCTGGTTTTTCTGGTATCCAGGGCTGGCCTCCCTGTCCCAGCTCCCAGGGAGTACAGAGGGCTGAGCCTGCCCAGCTCCTGCTGTCCAAGGGCTGGTCCTGCATTCTCTTCTGGACTGTGCCTCTCCCATGGCCGGTAGGGTGTGGGTAGAGATCTGGTCCTGTTGCTCTCAGGATCAGTAGAAGGACGTGGTATTTGTTCTGCCCCCCAGACGGCCCACATGTGAGGTGGGGTCTCTGCAGTGCATCCGGCCTGGGCTCCAGGGTTGCCAGTCGGAGCTGCCAAGGTGCCCTCCTGACCAGTCCTTCCTCAGCTGACCCTGGAGACACAGCATTGCAGGGCACTGGGCAGGAAAGGGGTGCTAGTGGCAGGGGCCCAGCCTGCTCCGAGGTGGCCCTGTGGGTTTGGAACCTGGGTCTCAGTTCCTTGCCATGAGCCCCGACTCCCCACAGATGCCCTTCTTCGGCTGTGGGTAGCTGTGCCCTGAGTGTGCACAGCTGTGGGGTACCCGGGCCTTAGGGGCGCAGACCCTCTTGGACACAGCCACAGCTCTGGGTGTCCACATCCACTCAGCCGTGCTTGCTGAAGGAGCTCTGAGCAGGGAAGTGAGCGGGGAGGGGTGGCTAGGCCAGGGCTCTGGGACCCAGGCACAGCACCCCAGCTGGAAGTTACGGGCAGGGATGTGGCCTGGACTCTCAGCCATAGCTGTGGGGGCTGCTGGGGTCGACGGGAGCAGAGTCCTGACGGCCAGCTGGCCTCACCAGCTGCCACAGGCGGTGGCTGAGGTTCTGCACCTGGCAGGTGCCCAGGGCGCAGCCCACCCGCAGCAGCTGGGCGTGGGGCCTGCGGGGGCCGCTGGCCTTGAGATGCTGGCCCCCAGAGGGGGCATAGCTGGCCCTCCTGTGTGGCTGACGGGCCTGACGGGGCTTCCAGGTTGCTGGCCAGGATGCAGGGCGTCGGGGCTGCAGGCCACTGGCGGGAATCCAGGCCGGGGGCTCTCTGTAGAGTGGAGGGAGGATGTGAACCCAAGGGTTCAGCCTTGGAGACCCATGCCTCAAGCCTGGGGTCACCAGAGCGGGAAGTCCCGGCCTCCCCAACAGCCTGGTGCGTGGCCAGGGGAAGTCCACCCAGAGAGTCACTTATAACCCAAGCTCACTACCAGCACTTCGCTGGGCAAAAGGCACATCCGGCTTTGTGGGCCAGACTAGCAGTGATGCCCCCACAGCCCTTGAGGTGAGTTGGCACCTTGCGGGAGCCCACAGCTGTTGCCACGGCTGGGTGTATGTACGTGCAGACACCTGTATCAGGGCAAGGCAGACACCCAGACCTCTGGGCAGGCAGGCTGGGACAAGAGAGGGGGCACACGCCTGTCCCGTGTTCCGGCCGTCTAGCGGGGTCAGTGGTCGGAGATTGTCTGGGACTCACCTGGGTCGCACGGGCCGTGGGCTGCTGGACAGGGCGGCTGGGAGCTGCAGGTACACGAGGCTGATGCAACTCAGGATGAGAAGCAGGAGCCAGGCCATGGCGCGCTGCGGAGGGAGAGGCTCAGGCTGCGGCGGGCAGGGCCAGCCTGGGTTTCCAGCCCGGCCCCACACCTGGGGCCCCGCGAGGGGCGCGCGAGGCAGGTACCTGCAGTGGTCGGTGCTTGGCGGCAGGTGCAAAGCGGGACACCTCGGCTGGCTTCCGCTGGCGGGCGGTGGGCCGAGCGGGCGAGGGTCTCCTGGGTCAGCTCGAAGCTTGGGGTCGTCCTGCCACGGATGCGGCGTCGGCCCTGGCGGTGCCCATGGAGCTAAATAGTCTCTGTCGCAGGGGCGGAGCTGGCGCGGGGACGGGGCGGGGCACATGGCCGGGCCGCCGCCCCACCTTGCCTGCCCGGCCGCTCAGACAGCAGTGCAGCGCACCAGACCAGCCGGCAGCTGTTCAGCTCTTCAGTTTCTGTTGGGGGTGGGAGTCCCGCGGAAGGGATGGACCTGGTCTGGCCAGTGCCTGGTGTCCTGTGAGTCCTTCAATCCGTCTTTTGCCCACATGCAGGCTGCCCGGTGTTCCTAGAAGCACAGATTCTGCTGGATGCCAGCAGAGCCAAAGCATCCCCCACGTAGTGGCTGCTGAGAAGGGCCTGGCGCCATGGACTCTTGGCGTCTTTGTCCACCTGGGAGGGAACACCGCTCCGTGTGCTGCTCAGCAGACCTTCCTCTGCCACTCTGCCCCAAGTGAGTGCCCCCCGTGTCAGGCTCAAGGCGGGAGGGCGAGGCGGGCTGTCGTTGTGTCCCTTCTCTCCTCAGGGCTCACTGCGGGGGCTCAGTGCTCATTTTCTGGATGACTACGTCCAAAAGTGCCCAGCCTGGCTGGCCTCTGAGGCCGCTGGGGCTCCAAAGGGCAGTCACCTGCGCCCTCCTCGCTCGCAGCCAGGGCTGAGAGGGGTTGTGTTTATGTTGGAGGAGCCTAGTGGCAGCCAGCAAGGCGGGTCAGGTGGGCTTGGGGAGACTGGCGGGGTGGACATGGCTGTGGCACAGCCCTTTGAGGGTTGCCCCAGCAGAGCCGTCTGCCAGCCCTGCGTGCCGTGCTCAGGGATGGAGAGTGGGCACGTTCTGGCTGCCTCAGGGGAACAGGGCAGGGGGTGGGAGGGACTGAGGGCCTGTGGCAGGAGGGACACGGGTTCTGCAACTGTGTTTCCCAGCTGCGCCCCTCATAGCACCTTGGTACCCAAAACAAACAGGGTCCACACACCAGCTCAGTGAGGGGAAGCCGGAGCCCCCACTCACACAGGGTCACACTCTGGGACAGGTGGAGGCAGGTCTGGGCGAGGTGGGGTGGGACTTCCATGAGCCCATGGTCCCATCTACCCAGAGGCCCTGCTGGAGGGGGGTGGTCCGCTGACTCTCAGTCATCAACTCAGCTGCCCCTCCCGATGTGAGGCCTTGCTCTGCAAGGGGCAACCACAGGCCATGTGCACTGGTGCCCTGCTGGAGGAGCCATATCTGGGGGTGATGGAAACTGCCCCCAAGCAGTGTCCACTGCAGAGACCCGAGAAGAGCCAGGTCCTGGCCACAGGTGGGCCGCAGAGCAAGCCAGCCACCTGGTTTCAGATGGAAGGGACAGGCTGGCAGTGGGGCCCTGCCATCTGAGGGGCTGGTTTGAGTCCTGGCTGCCGCTTTCTGACCCATGTCCCTGCTTGTGGCCTGGGAAAGCAGTGGAGGATGGCCCAGGTAATTGGAGCCCTGGACCTGTGTGGGAGAGCCAGAAGAAGCTTTTGGGTAGAGGCTTCAGATCAGCTCATCTCTTTTGGGGCGTGAACCAGCACATGGAAGATCTCTTTGTTTCTCTGTTCAACTCTGCTTTTCAAATAAAAATCTTTTAAAAAGATGGATGTGATTAACTTGGGAGCTGCAGAGGGAGAAGGGTTAGTGAGGGGAGGAGCGTGGGGTGGGGTGCAAGCTGGGTGGCAGGTGTCACTGGGGGCCCCTCGCCCTGTGAGGGCTGCAGGCGGGAGGAATGGGCTCAAACACACAGGGCCAGGTTTGTGCCAAAGGGGTCAGGTGAGGAAGACAGGCAGTAAAACCCGAGGCTTCTGTGAGATGCCAGGCCTGGGGGTGCAGCTGGCAGGACTGGCAGGAGCAAGCTTTCCTGAGGATAGCAGATGGGACAGGAGAGTTGGGGGGCTCCTGAGGTTGGGGACACAGACGCACAGTAGACAAGGGCCCAGTGGGGGTCCTAGGGCACAGGCTGGTGAAGTAGGTGTGGGACATGGCTACCCACGTATGGGTAGGGGACAGGGCCTTCAGGAAACAAGTGCTAGGAACTGTGGCTCGGCCTGTGTCCATGGCAGGGAGGGCACCCGTGGGTCCTCTCTCTAAGTCTCACTCCGTTTGCTCTCTGGCTAGCTCCTGGACCAGCCGGAATACCATGGTAGCTACTAACTCCTGCAGAGCCAGCTGCTCCCACAACTCCCTTGCTCATCTCTGCAGCCTGCCAGGCAGGCCCTGGCCAGTCTGAGGACTTGCAGGATGCGGGAGGAGAGCCCTTTCTGGGGCGGCGGTGTCCAGCCCTGCTCAGAGCGCCCCGTCCCCACCTGGCGACCCCGACAGCCCGCGCGCCCCGTCCCCGCCTGGCGACCCCGACACCCCGAGCTCTTGCGCCCTCTGCTCGACCCTGCAGGGTCCAGGTCCCGCGGTCCCAGGCGCCCACCCCGCCGGCCGCTGCTAGGACCCTGGGCGGCCGGGGGCGGAGCCCGGGGCGCGCGGCGGGGCCCGCCCCCACGCGGGACGGGCCAATGGGGCGGGGGCGGGCCGGGGGCGCGCAGGCGCACGGCGGGGCCGGGCGGGCCGGCTGGCTGGGAAGATGGCGGCGGGAGCCCTGGGCGCCGCCGCCGCCGCCGCAGGACGGGCCCGGGGCGTCCCGGGTGCGCGGTCCGGAGTCGGGGCCGGGCCATGAGCGCGCTGCCCTCGAGTGCCCGAGCCGCGGAGCCCGCCCGCGCCCCTCGCCATGGCGCGGCTCGCGGACTATTTCGTGCTGGTGGCGTTCGGGCCGCACCCGCGCGGTGAGTGCGGCGGCCGAGGGCCGGGCGGTCGGGACTCCGGGCCGGCGCCTGGACGCCTGGACGCCTGGACGCCTGGACGCCCGGCCGCCGGGCACGGGCCGCGGGAGGCCCGGGGCGGCGCAGCCCTCCCGGCGGCCGTCGGTGGGTCGGCTGGGGGGCGCGAGGGCAGGCCCGGGCGCGGCTGGGGCTGGAGGAAGTGCCGGGGGCGCAGGCGCTCCTGGCCCGGTGCTGAGCCTGGCCCTGGCCGCGGTCAGCACCGTGTCCGACCGTGACGTCAGCGCTGGCCAGCATCCTCGGGGTGCCAGGCCCCGCACGACCCTTTGTGTGGGTGAGCTCAGCGCTTCCTCGCAGCGGCCTGCCGGGCTGGCCGGGTCCCACCTGCAGAGGGACAGAGCTGTCCAGATGGTTCTGTGGCCATCAATCACCTCCAGGCCTGCCTGTCTTCTTGCTGGGCTCTGCTCACTGGAGCCTGCATGGTGTCCCCGTGTGTCAGTCTGTGCTGCTGTCTGACACTCTGGTGGCCAGACAGGGGTGAAGGCGACGTGAGTTTGGGAGCTTGTGGTGGGAGCTGCGTGGAAGGCAGGAGTGGCAGGGAGGAGGGGTTCCCAAACTGTGCGCTCCCCTTGGGTGGGAGCTGAGCGTCCTCCAGCCAGGGCCTCGTCCTCCAGCCAGGGCCTCGGCATAGCGGGGTGGCTAGAGGGTTCCAGCAGCCAAAGGCAGGGACCCCTGCTTTGCCGCTGCAGAGCCGGTTGTGTGGGCCTGCTCACCCCCTTCCTGGGTCGCTGCGAGGGGCCCCAGAAAGTGCTGAATGTTGTATAGGGCTGTGTGTGGGCATGTTGAGGCACAGACCTGAGGGTGAAGGTCCCCAGGACAGGCAGGCCTGAGACACCTGGGGGCAACTGGGGGCTTGTCTTTGACTTCCTGTTTCCTTGCTGGGTGCTGGGCCTTGGTCTCAGCTGCTCAGAGGTCTGTCAGAGGCAATGTGTAGGTTCTACTGGTTATCAGCTGGGCATCACTCAGGAGGGCGAGGAAGGGGCCAAGGAGGTGAGTGGCTGGGCGGGACATGACCCCTGTGTCCTGCTGGGTCCTAGCAGCTGGCACTGGCCCACCTGCATGGGTCTCACTCGGGCCAGCTCAAGGACCAGACAAACCATCCTGCCCAGTGTGGGTGCCAGGAAGGCCTGGAGAGTTCGGCCATAGTGTCTTGGGGACCCTCAGGGCGCCAGCCTTGACCTGGCCAGAGTACAAGTGTCATCGTTGGAGGGGCTGTATGTCATACCCTCAGGCCTGGCCTCGCTGGCTCAGTGCATGGTGAAGTGCCACCTCTCGTCCCCACCCATGTTCCTGTTGTCCTCCTCCAGCAGGTTGGGGCTGCCTGGGATGCTGCCTCCCTACCCCCACCCTGCTAACTCAGAAGGCTGACTGCACTGGGGAGGGGGTGGGAGAAGCTGCCAGGCCATCGGCCACATCGTCTTGTCAGTCTTGACCAAAGCCATGTGCATGTGTGTGTCTGGGTCCCTCTGGCTACAGCTGGGTCGGTACTGCCCGATGTGTCCTTGGGGTGCCCGCCAGGCAGACGGAGGAAGCCACATCTTCCTTCACCTCTGGGTCTGGCATGGGCATGAGTTAGTGCCCTGACAGCCCATCCCCCTCAGTCCTGCTGCCCAGCTGGGGTTGGCTGCAGGAGGATGCTCGGGGCTCCCATTCCCCTGGGACAGAGCACCTTGCGTGTGTGCCTCGAGCCTCTCCTCTGCCGCCCCCTCCCCCAGCACTGGGTACCGCGCGGCTGTGCTGGCCCCGGGCTGGAGAGGAAGTGTGCAGCTGCTGCAGGTCAGCTTTGAGGAGCTGGGCAGTGCGCTGAGCTCATCAAGTGTGGCTGAGGAGTCACCTCAGGACCTCTCAGTGCGCCTCCCCGCCGCGGTGGAGGAGGGTGGGAGCTGCTTTGTTCTCATCCTCTGGGGCTCCGGAAGCTGTTTGCTTGGCGGG